ATTGTCAGTTAACCTGCCTGAATTGTTAGATATTGACCTCTCTGGCTCTGCGTTGTAGACATGGCTCCTAGCAATGACCTTCAAATGAGTCAGTGTGGATGATGGTCCTGCGAGATGGAGCCACCTTCACACTTTCTACACAGGAGAGAACATTGGGGTAATAAAAATGATTCAATTATTAGATATTTCTGCACTTTCTTGTCTGGCCTCATTTAACCATCATCAGACTCCTTGAAAGTAGGTACCACTCCCAACATCCATACTGTACAGGTGAAGAAAAACAACTCTCAGGGTCTAAATGATTGGCACACAAGCAAGAAGCCATGGGAGTTAGTAGAATCAAGACCTAAACCCAGCTCTGCTGAGATTGACAGTATTTTTTTCTCAGAAACAAAACTCTACTGTGCATTTTTCTGGAGAACAACTGAATTTCAAAACACAGTAAACGTTGCCAGATAAATGAGCATGTGGCTGGAGACATGCTGTAGACAGTGTGACTTCATTTCTTTGGTGCATTAACTCATTCCCATTTTTCTTTGCTCTCTCCCTTTTTTTAGATTTATTTATTTGTGCATACAGAACTAGGGTGCAGGCCAGAGGTGGAGGGGCAGTGAGAGGATTCCCCAAAGACAGAGTGGGGAGCAGAACATGCTGACTGATGAAGTACAGTGCTGAGGGGAGCAGCCAGCAGGTCAGGAGAGATGGGCTGTGCCATGTGGGTCACATCCAGGGTGGGGATCCAACTCATTCTGAAGTAGCTTTAGCTTCTTAGTGCTGTGCTTTAACCCGCTGTGCCACCAGGCAGGGCCCTCCTTGCTCTCTTTTTTAGTGATTTATTTGCTGGTTATCATGTCCAACTTTTACTGTTGGATAGAATATTCTATTCTATCCTGTTATCGCTTATTGCTTCCCCTCTCTCCATCAAACCGTGTACCACTCAGGCTGAGTGGTGAGTGCATGTTGAGAGTGGCTGTGTTCCCTGTAGGATACCTGTTCCTCAAGAGAAGAGGTTGGGTTGTTTATCTTTCTTTGAATCTCTAGCTCCTGGCATGGCCTGGAGCCACCTCTGCCACAGACAAATGATAAGCACTGCAAGAATGGGTGATTAAAGAAGTTGTGAACTTGAAGTTTCTGACTTTGTAAAAGCAGTGTAGAAAATGTAAACATCAACCATTCAATGGAGTGGAAGAAATGGCAGGTCTTTGCAATGATGTCTCAGAGAAAGTTTGAAGCAGTTACTATGTGCAGGTTCAACAAGTGATTGCACTGGAAGAAGTGGACAAACACAGGAAAAATTAGCAGTAAATTGAATTCAACAGATATTTGAGAACTTATGATGAAACATTTGTATGAAGCTCTAATTATTTGCCGTATAACAAAGGAGAATTTTTTTTATCCTTATGCAAGAACTCACGTGTAAGTGGGAATCATTTGCACATCAGTCTATGAGAAAACATATATAGGATGGAATAATCTTAATATAAAACTCAAATCACATGAAGTCCATTTTTCTACACGGAATGTCTGAGGCTTCTCCTTGCCACTAGGTTTAACTGCAGGCTGCCTTCATGACATTTTTGGCTTTTCAGTCTTCTCGCATGCTTCCCCACTCCCAATAAATTGCTGATACTCCAGTCATGCGACATTTTTAAATCACTCCAAATATTATGCTTTTGTAGTCCTGCATTCTCCTTCCCTGGAATCCTGACTCTGTCAAGTGACTCTTCACTCATCCCCGAAACACAGACCACATGTTAACAAAAGTCTGTTTCCTTCAGGCCAGTGATCTCCAGGGGGGTTCCACGTGTACATCTGTCAATCAAGCCTGTGGTTGCTTCTTCTACCCAAACCACAAGATCCACATGTCCACTGGTTATTTCCTACTTGTCTTTGTATGCTCTCAGCATAGCCAAATAAAGGGTAATTTATGTCCTGGAAATTACTCTTTGAGGTGTCATCTGTCTTATTTGTATTGTCTTCTTGGACTAAGAATGTAGGAAAGAAAAATTTATTTACCTAAGCAATCTCTATATAACAGCTTCTCAGATTCAGCATTGGATATATAACATTGAACAAAACAGCTGCCTTCAAGGGGCCTGTATTCTGGAGGGTAACATAACAAAGAAGTTACAGAAGCAAATTAATTATAGCTCCTGATGAATAAAATGGAAGTGTATCATGAGAAATGAGAAGGTGGGGAAAGAACTTCAAGAAATTGAAGAAAGTTCTCTATGAGTTAGTAAATATAGGCAACTGCTGAATGCTGAGGAGTCCAGAACCATGGTCAAACATAGAAAAGTCATTCAAGTCAAGAGACAAAGTCAACATGATTTACAAACTACACAAGACCAGTGTGACTGGCATGGACTCTAGATGACATGGAACAAATTGGCAGGAAATGTACATTATATAAGACCTGTCTGCTGGAGTACAAGGTATCGGTTTACTCTAGTTGTGATGGAACCTACTAGAAATTTGCAGGCCCCAAATGGGCATGATTGGATCAGGGTGCTAATAATGTTTGTGTTTTAAATTCTGTATGTCTATTTATACAAGACTTCTTTGAGGGTTTACTCCTCACTTCTTTCTCCTCCCCACTGGGGGGCTCCAGAGATTGTCGTAAGTGTTTAGCCTGATTCGGTTCTTTGTGGCAGTCTCCTGTCAGTTTTCCAAGAGATATGTTTAAAATAAAAATATCAACAAGGGAATATGACCAACTGAATAAATAAAAGATTGCAATACAATAAGCACCTTGAAAAAGGTCAGCATTCAATAGTCTGCATATGACACAGTCTTTAGAATTGTTATTTTTCTATAACATCTGTGGTTGTAGAGTCTTTGACTAAATATATTAGGACTAATTTGTAATTCTGTTTTAAGCCAAAGTGACTGCAGCAACTGATGAAAAATTCATAGAGCAGATCTGGGGGGCTCTCAGGCAGAACCTAGTACCCACTTATTAAATGACACCCTTAACATCAGCCAGTTGCTGAGTTCTTACTCTGGTTCATGGCTAGGTGCTAATGCATCATTGTACATATTATCTCAATCATTCTCCATCCTTCAGAGATGGTAGGAAGTTCTTACTGAAGTTAGAAAACTGACACCTTGGTTTTGGCTGACATCTCAAAGCTATCAAGTGTTAGATGTGTGTTTTGGATGAGAATCTTCATGATTCCAAGATCCACGGGCTGCTTTCTGGCAATTTCAGTTTTCTCAACAATAAGATGGGTATCTTATCTCCCCAGTGAGGGTTAGAGGAGAGAGGCTGATACAGGTCTACCAAATTTGTAGTGTATCTCCAATGGCACAAAGATATAACACTTGTTACATTACCCCCTCAAAAAATGTAAAAGATCAGGAGCCTAATTTTTTCCTTAAAAAGAACATCTCCCCTCAAAACAAATTTCTTGAAGATTCTAATTTTTTTCCCCTGAATTCATTGTCCTCTTGGAACTTGACCCAGATTCCCCCCAAATTTGCAGCAAGTGTTTCTCTCAGGTTCGTCAAAGGAGTTAGCAACATGAGGTAAGATTCTACTGGGCTCTTTCTTCTACTCAGTGTGTGGTGTGGGCAACTCCCTTCCTCACTGAGAGGGTTAGTGAGCTGAAGTTCAAGGAGGTTCGAGTTTTTCATCAATAGGGCAGAATGTATCCTATTGCTGGGATAAGAGGAAGAAAAGGAAAGGAGCTAGGTCCTGGCATGACAGAGTTTCTCTGGAATGTTTGGTTAATGAGTTAATTACGGGACTCTCCTTCATAAGCGAACTGCTGCCATCTTCAATAATATCAGCAGAAGTCATATCAGACACCTTTCTACCAGTTGCTACTGAAAAAAAATGAACTAAGATCATCGGGAACTAGAGACCAATGACTGGGATTCTGAGAAAGACATTCAGCCACAGACTCATTTTGTTCGACCACATAGTTTTTAACATTTTTTAAACTTGTCAATGTTTAAAAATAATGGGAGATTTCACACAGAACTCCTCGCTTCTGGCTTGTTTCTGCAAAGCTGGATATTTGGCAAGGCTGAGTTGGCATTTCCACTCTTTCAGGGGAAATGCTGGCGTTGAAGAGAAGCTTTCCTCAAACGCACCCCCAGACTATATTAGACCTGCACACGGCAATTCTGACATTCCCCCTGCTGCGCTAACCCACAGCCAGGCCAAGTCAGTGAGCAAACTAAGAGCCAATTCACCAGAGACTCTGGAGTCAGAGGGGAAACAATAACTAGTTATTCCAATTGTGGTGATTACAGGGAGCTACCATGGAAGAGAACTCAGAATCTTCCAGTGGGGTTGCTTTCATCTGTGTACCTGTTTCTTGTACCTACCTCCTCGTGTTGAGTTGAGGGTGACAAAATAAATGTGTGGGAAAATGGAGCTAGACCCTAGCAAAGGTTCTCTCCATTCATTGTTATACCAGCAAATAGTTTTCTTCGCTGTACCTCAATGTCCCTAAAATGAAGAAATCTGCTAAACCACAATCATTAAAGAGCCTTCTTGTTGGGATCTAGAAAGTGATCGCTCTTCCTCTGGGTGTCCCCCAATCGCCCCAGGACAGCCTTATAGGAAATCTTGCCATTCTCCCATCTCACCGCTTCAGGCTTGTCTTGCCACCCCTGTGCCCATCTTCCTTTGGGCACGTTTGGGTGTCGAGGTGGGGAGTGGGGGTTATTTCAGGGGAGCCGGGCCTTGGTCCAGGGAAGTTGGGGCGCACTGTCCTTCCCGAGGCTCCAGACGGTACCCAGGCGCCTTGGGATCCGCGTCTCTGGCTGGGAGCCGCGCCGCAGCCCTCTCCTCGCGTCTGGCTCCCCGGGCAAGGAACCAACCTCCAGTGACTGCCGGGCAGTTTCTGAGGAGGACGCGGATCCGGACACCGTCGAGCTCGCAGCTTCCCGCCCAGGCGGGGGAGCCGCCCCTCCCGGAGGATCTCCGCGCTGGGCGGTGCTGGACCCCGAGGCAGCCGCAGGTGCCAGCCCGCGCAACCCCGCCCTGCCGGGCCCAGCCGCGCGCAGCACCGCGCTGGCAGCTCGTGTGCCAGGCAGGTAGGCAGGCGCCCGGGTGCTGCTCCCTCCTGATTTCTCCGAGTTCCTTTATCAGCCCCTGCTCCCCGGGGTGGAAGCACTGATCTGAGCTTCTTGAAAGGCGCAAAGGTAAGTAGCGGTCTAGTTATTTCATTTCCAGAAACCGAATACTAAGGGCACTGTTGAGAAGCTAGAAAGTTACAAGGGAAGAGAAATAAGGCAAAGACAGGCAGAACAGATAACTCGGAACACTCACAGAAGCTGGGACGAACCCAGTTTCCTGTACGTGTTGTGGCCCCTCGCGCGCCCCAACCTCTCCCGAGACTGGGTCCTGAGGAAGACCCAGTAAATATGTGCTGAATAGAGGAAATGGCCAGCTGCTTTAGCTTCTCTTATCGGGCTTTTAAGCATGCAAAACTGCCTTTGATAGTTGACTTCATTTCCCTAAGGTTGAAGACACTGAACATTTTTTGCAAGGGTAAGTAACGTGTGTACTCACACAGGACTTAAAAAACAGCTCTTAAAAAAAGCACAGTCGGAGCTGTGCAGACCCGCATGCCTGACTGCAGAGGGCAGGGGAACATGGTTACAGTAACAGAAAGTACACCTACTCCCCCTTGCCATTTAGGAGACTTATTTGAAAAGACACAGCATGTTGTAAACTCATAGCAAAAGAGACTGTAAAGCCGATGCCGCAGACTTGATGGTGGCTGTACTGGGGAAGCATAAAAGAGGAATGAATTTGCAATGAGAATTAAATCGGAAATAATGTTTATCTGTAAGTTTCCGTATATCAAAATGAGGAAGCAAAGTTGACGAACTAGAGGGAATTGTTATTGAGTGGTGTTAACTTGGGTATTATCTTTTACATTTTCCTTCTTCCCTGTTTCTAAATTTCTTAAGCAGTTATGATTTTCAACTGCCAACAACAAAATTAGTTGTGTCTACATACTTACTGTGCAATGATCCTCATACAGTTCTATGAAGAGTTGCAACTTTTTTGCCTCACTCAGTGTGTGCTCCAGTTCCTGAAATGTCACCCTTTACCCAAGGAACCTGAGCAGCTTGGAGAAGGTCACCTGTTGACAGTCCCAGAAAAGTATAGGACAAAGGCGAAATCTCGGAATCAGAGAAGAGTCTACGGTGACAAATTTGGTCATTGGCCAGACCAGGCGAAAACATGAAAACTTGCTGTGTTACTGCAATACCGATAGCTTTCGCTGATATTCTCTGTGCTAGCTGTGCTCTTGACATCTGGGAAAGATGCTTACGTAACACTGCAGGCTTAGTACTGGAGGTTGGGAAGGTGGGGGGTCTGGTAGCAGAGGGTCCCCTAGGTCTGCCCAGCCCTATTCAGTGGAATGAAAAAGATATGTTTCCATTCTCCTGCCAGAGAAAGGTTGATTTCTTCCTAGCTATGAGGAAGGTTATCTAATTTGGTTATCCACATGGGGAGGAATAGATAATTCTAAACCGGATTAGGTAGGTTAGGTGCAATGGGAGAACTCACAAGACAAATGTTCCCTCCACTGCCTCTTCCCTGCTTGCATATTTTATCTCTCCACACCCCCCAAATTCACTAGATCTTTAGTCATCAAAATTGGCATCAGAATGGACTTCTGAAATGTGGCAAATTGTGGTAATAGTCCTCTCTCTGATCAGACACCTTGCAAGGTCAGTGTTTAGGACACTTGACGTTGCAAGAAAACAAAGGGCCACTTGAGACAAAACTGAGGTGTGAAGAACCATGTAAGAATGACAGGATCAGGGTGTGGTGCTGGAACTCTGTGTACTGAGGTGTTCACAAGACTTAAAACAGGATATAGCCACTGCTATCCTTCCTTGTTCTCAGTGTTCTCTCTGCAATCAGCTCACTAATGTCACCTATGGTTCACAGTCTGCAGTCATTCTGGATTCAAAATTTAGTAATAGAACACAGAGGGTCCCCCTTTTCTTTCTCTCCAGCCCACAGGGAAGCTCTCAGACATCCAACTTGCTGCTTCCTAGCCTGGTTTTCTGCTGGAATGAAAAGCCCTTTGTTTTTTAGCCTGCAGAGAGACAGTTGCGTTCTTTCTGGCTCCTGGGTCTCAGTAATGCCCCTGAGCTTCCCGGGCCACCTGTCACCCGGCCCTGCCCCCACCCCCTACCATTTAGGGCTGCTTCCTAACTGCTGACTCCTTTGCTCTCCATTTAATGATTCTTTTAAAAGTCCATAAGGCACTTTGCCAGCAGTTGGCTTTTAGTATGAAAAGTAGCATTTCATTAATGAATCTGCCTTCCCAATGAAGGCTTTACTTACATCACCCTAATAGGAAAATGAGCTTTTCTTCTAGACTTGCTTAGAAACTTCTCAACTTCTTTTGCAATAACTCATCCTTAGCCCAGGTTGGCTGGGGGCACTTTTTTTTAATTCTGCCTCTAATCTGTACTCCCTTCGTGTGTAAAAAGTCCAAGAGGAAATCAGTTGGCTAGTGTTCAATTAAAAAAAAATACATGAAAAGGATATACTGCTCTCATTCTTTGCAAATGATGTATCAGCAAACAACATGCTAGTGACTCTATATACATTATCTCATTAACTATATCCCACAAGCCATATTTGTCTGATGCATGTGACTTGCTTAGGTCATAGGGTTCCAGGCCCTCTGGTTATGTAGGTTGGTAGCCATAGGTTACAGTAGAGATTAGGTGCTGTATTCTAAAATTATAGATTGTTTAACATCTGGATCGTAACCCTTTTAAGTCAGTGTGCAGATCTGTCTGCAAGATCCACTGGGGCTCTGGCCATAGCTGTTTGGATGTGGAAGCAGTGCTGTTTGGTGGAAACAGTGACCTCTGATGGCAGCTGGCTACCCCAGGGCGCAGTGTCGTGAGGGACCCTGCTGTCTTCCCCTAGCCCAGCTCACTTTCCATATTTCCACCTGGCTCTCTTGGGTTTTTGAGCTCTTGTTTCCCCTATTTTAAGTGTAAGAGGCTAAATAGCTGGCCAGCGCCATTATAAGGTGTCAGTTTTACAATCAACTACCTCTCCTTGCTGGTTTCAGGGAAAGGTAAAATTCTTTAGGATTAAAAATAAAGCTATCAATATACATCTTTTCAGGGTTATTTCACTCTCACATGTAACTTTTAATGTGAGCTTCTGAGTGGCTAATAATTATTGAGCACTTATGCCATAATAATGCTTTATGTATTATCTCATTAAATCACATTGAATTTGCTTTATACAAAATTTTATTTATATAATTTTTTTAATTTGCTTTTGTGGTAAGGATCACTTTCAAGTTCAGAGGAAAGGAGATATTTTCAGTGAAATTCAGCAATTTGCTGATATGGTAAAGATTATACCAGACCTCATTCCTTGCAGCATGTTCTCAAAAATTTAGTGATAGTGAATTTTATTTAATTGCTCTTAAAGTAAGGCCCCATATAAACTTGTCTTTATACTTAGGAAACAGTTTGCTTTACTCCTTCTTTATAAGTCTAGATCTACTATTGATGGGGGTCATGTATTAAATTCATCCAGAGGTTTGGTGTTCTGTTATTTCTGAAACTGTCATTTTTAAGCACAAAAATTCTTTGTGTCAACCCAGTTAAACTTCATATTTTGGTTATTGTCTGTGCTCTGGGTGCTGAGGGTATACCGTATTAACAGTGTACTGTTTCTTTTTTCTCCTAGATATCTGAGGTTTGGAGGCCTGTTTTTGAGAGAAGATGAGTTTCCCTGCCCAGATAATGTAATTGAAAGACACTGGTGTGAGCAGACTTGACCATGGGAGCCAGTGCTTCAAGCAAACCACCAGTGTTTGATGAAAATGAGGATGGTAAGGGACGTGTGATATTTGTGTACAGAATTTTGCAAAGTTCAAATATAAATTCCTAGTTTTACAAGTCTATTGCAATATAGGGCCTTTAAAAAAAAAGGGGGGCCCTCCTTGGGGGGGCCCTCCCTGGTGGTGCCACGAGTTAAAGCACCATATTATGAAGCTCTCCAAAGCCACTCCAGTACAAGTTCGATCCCGAGCCCCGGAGGTGACCCACATGGCACGGCAGACCTCTCCTGTCTCGCCCGCTGCTCCCCTCAGCAGTGTACTTTGTCAATCTGTCTGTTCTGCTCCCCTCTTTGTCTCTGGTGAATCCTCTCACCCACCTCTGGCCTGTACCCCAGTTCTGTAAGCATAAATAAATAAATCTTGAAAAAAAAAAAAAAAGAACTGCATGGGTAAGCCCAGGACATTGTATGCAGAGGCTTCCACTTCCTGGAGCACTTCCTCTGTCACAGCCACAGCAGTGCTGGTGCGATTTGTTCAAAGGGAGCCAAGGTTGTGCATCTGGTGGGCAGAGGGTACTGAGATTAAGTGATTGATTTGTTGTCTCTGCAGTTCCTTCACAGCAGAAGCTACCCTTATTGTTCCTTGTTACACAAAATGGTTTACATTATCAAATTGCTTGTGGCGGATAATCGATACTTGTAGTTTTCCAGTGCAAAGTCATGCCAAAAGGGGCCTTCTGAGTCTCCAAGTGCCATGCTTCTGACAAATGCCACTACGCCAGGTCAGAGGCAGGCTTAGGGGGGCGAAGGGACTCTTTCAAGGTCAGGTTCAGTAAGGAAAGCACACATGGACCCCCTGATTCTCTCATCACCCCACAGAGAGTCATGCTAGAATGGGAGCTGGACTCCTTATGTCACCTTTCTTCCTGCAATGGATCTACCAGCCACCTTGTCAATATACAATGGTGACAGCTGTGTGTAGGTTGCCCAGGGAAAAGGCCCCAGGTCCCAGCTCATAAGCTGTCCAAGGAGCCAGGGAGCCCCCAGAGTCACATCTAGGGAGTTCTGCTCATGGGACCACAAGAGAAAAGAACAATGAGCTGAAATTTAGGCGAACTGAGCCCTAATCCTACTACCAGCTCCCTGTGGGACTCCAGCTTCAGTATTCTCATCCATAAAGTGAGGGACTGGGGGGCCCCCACGGTCTTTCTCAGTGTCAAATTTTATTGTTTGACATCATAAAGCCACTTTCAAAACTAGGAAGGAGCATCTAAATCTTCAAGGAAACGTGATTGTATTAGAATGTTGAAACAGAAACTATGGAAAATTGTGGCTTAAACAAAACAGGCCTGTTTTTCTTTCTTGGTAACACTCTAGGCATAGGTGACCTAGTGACCCGTGGCTCCGAAGGGTGGGAAGGGGCCTGCCTCTTACAACTTGCTTCTGTCCTGCTCTTCCCATCCCCAGTGTCACTCTGAGCCTCAGCCCTCTGTGGCTCACCTACTGGTAAATCCCAGCCCATGGGGAGGAAAGGCGGTGCCCCCTGCCCTGGCTGATGCTTTTCACTGGCATGTATGCGCACAAACCTAGTTAGAGGGCTGGCCAATGTGGTGAGTGATCTTGTGCGCCCAGAACCTGCTTAAAGAGTTCTGTTTTGGTACCAAAGGAGCAGAGAAGAAGCTGTCTGCCAGCTGAAGCCTGCTGCCGTCAGTTTCTTGGATGGACCCTTCTAAAAACAAAATAGCTGACTGATGAGGATGTCTTTTTCACAGCTATTCACTATTAATTTATATTTTTAAAAGATTTTATTTATTTTTGTACAGAAGAACTGGGGTATAGGCCAGAGGTGCAGGGGTGAGAGGATTCACCAGAGACAGAGTGGGGAGCAGAACAGGCACATCAACTGAAACATACTGCTGAGGGGAGCAGCTGGTGAGACAGGAGAGGT